TTTTGTATTTCATTTTATTTTGCTTAATTTAGAAGTAATTTTTAAAATTTGAGATCAATTGATGGATTTTCACATGCTTTACTTTTAATTTAAATTATGCTTCGAAGTCTTTGCTGAATACCAGAGTTTTTTATTTAACATTTTATTTGTGTGTTTATCAGAAATAAAAAAAAAAAAATAACAAAAACGTATGGCTTAAAAAAGAATCGTATGCTTATTAAGCAAATGCAAACTAGAAAAGCTAAATATAAAAAAACGCTTGTTTTTCAATATTCAGTATTAGCGTTTGAGCATAAGGACAGAAGCTAAAAAAAAAATTGTTGACCAGTGTTTTTAAGTTTGGATAATATATATTATTTATACATTTAAAATTTATGTAAACATATTATCAAAAAAAGAAGTAAAATTAAGCTAAATTGCAACAAAAATATTTCATTTAAAATTAAAATCTAAAAAATTATTCCAAATAATATTTAAAATTTTTAATTTAATTAAAACAAACTAAAAAAGTTATTAATAACAATATTTAAAATGTTTATGTTTATTTTATTGTTTATTTTACGTTTTTTGAAATTTATGTAATTTTTTTTTAAGTTTGTAACCCCGAAATGAATCACGCTTTACATTTAATACTGTTTTTGATGTCGCTTTTCCACCACTAGGAATCTTATTAAAGATTTATATTATTTTTCTTTTCTTTTTTTGTACTTAATTTTTATACTTTTCGCAAGACTCGCTTTGTTTCACGCTTTCTGTTTACCTTTTTACTTAACTGTTATTTTATTTTTATTATAATTTCACGCTGTTGTGTTTTAGTGCACTTAAGATAACAACATTTGCGCCTCTGATTTCCCAAAAGCATTGTTGTTGTCGCTTGCAATTTCTTTAGTTTGACTGAGTCAACACACATGCACACATAATTGTTGCTGCTTACTTAGTTGTTGTTACTATATTAAACTAAAGCTACACACACACATGCATAAAGCTTCACTTTCGCAAACACATCAAATCTTTTGCGATTTCCTTTTGCCTTGGTCTCCGGAGTGCTCACTTTCAATTTCCTTTAAATATTCTTTAACTCATTTATTTTTAGGTTTCTTTGCGTTTATTATTTTTGTATATTCACACGCATTCTTGAATTGCGCCTAATCTAGTTGTTGTTCAGCTATTTATTATTGTGGCGTTGGCGTCTATTTCATTTTCATTTGCCGCGCCGCGTAATAAAACTTCAAAGGATATGGGATTCTTATCTTTATAGCGGAGCGACCTAACCAAGGCACCGTGGCGCAAGTCGGCAGCCACAGGCAGTTGCTTGAGTAAAGCCAGCTAGTTGCTAGATACTTAGTAGCTTGGCTAGTGAGGGGGGTGGGGCACCAGTTCCACTAAAGTATGTTGTCTTTATCGACTTGCGCACATTTATCTATTTTATTAGCAACCTTTTCATGCTTGCGAAGGGATGCGGCCCGACCGAGGAGAGTATGCGCTATAATTAGACATTCTGCAAATGTGCTTTCTTTACAACGGTCTTCACTTTCTCACTGTGTACATACATACAAACACAATTAATATTTTCTTTTTTCTTTTTTCATTCATTTTTCTTTTTCTTTTATTTCATTTATAGCAATTACCGACCGTAACACTTTGGATTTGCTCTGCAAAACAAATTCACTTGTAAATTGCCAACAAAAATAAAGTAGAAAGAAACCAGCCGACGCACTTCCGCCGCTCAACGACCATTTAACGCCCGTATACAAAAACAGACTGAGCAATTTCAGGATTTATCCCTTGATGTTAAATAGAAGACGTTGTCATTGCCAGTCGGCAATTTCACCAAATCGTCTGGCACACAGCACGGAGGGATGCTTTGCTCTCCGGCACCAGAGCAACGAGCAATTGACGAACGATGCCTGGCATAGCACACCTAGCCTTTAAGCGGAACGTAATGTGAGAGCTGAAGCGTACGCACGAATTACTATGCTGGACACGAACAACACGATTTTGCGGGAAAGTGAGCGCCAGCATCCGGCATGAAGGATGTTACTATTGGCAACGTGAAAGTAATTCAACCCAGGCGTGGTGAAAATGGCTGACAGCGCTCTTGTTGCAATTGCTAATAAGAGCGCCAGATTGCTGGAACAAAGAACAATGAACAAGAGAGTGTGCTGGCGGCAAAGGATAAAGAACTGCCGTGTGATTGTGGCTAACGTATGCGAAAAGTAAACACATAACAATTATCTATATAGTTTTATTCTCCTCTCCATTTACCTTTTCACTTTCTTCGGCAATTCATTGTGTGGAGTGTGTACTCTTTTTCTCATAACAGTTTTCAACAATGCTCCATATCTCTCTTAAACGCAGGCGTATAAGAGTTTGTATCGAAGAAATCGTTATCCTTTTAACATCACTCTCTCTTTTTGTAGCCATCTGTAGACGCCCTCTGCCGGCTAATTCGAAAGCTTTCTTATCACAAAATAAAAGTTTTGTACACGTATTATAATTTCAGTGAGATATATATTTAAAGTACATATGTATATGTATGTAACAAAGGTATGTATTCCTGATAAGACTTTTCATACGATTTCCTAAAAAAAAAAACTCGTTGTAAGGTATAATAAAAAGCCGGACAATTTTAGGAATTATGAATTTTAGGCGTCGTAGGAACTGGGAAAAGTAACCTGCTTTTTCAAAACTTCTGAAAACGTAACATATTTCTGAGATAATTTCGAAACATGGTGCCGTGTTGTCAGTCCTAGATTAAAAATCCGGGTCCGTTCCGATTCCTTATACCAGAATGTCATGGGAATGAAGTTGTTGCTACTCGGCATCAGTGGTATCATAAGCCCTGGTGACCCTTCAGGTATCAAACTATGTATCCAAGCCAAGTTCGTCCCTTTCACTACAACCTTACTTTAGTAAGTTTTCTCGATTTACCAGAGAAAACGTGCATTTGCGGCGTAGCTATGTTTCAGTAAGGGTTCCGTAGCTGCTTCTTAGTCCTTGGAATCTCTGCGAATGACAAGCACTCTGTAGCGATCAGGTAGCCTAACACACACTGCTCCAAATGACAGCAGGAGGGTGCGGCAGAGGTAAGGTAATTTTATGCCCGCGGATTAAAGCGTATAGTGTTGTTATACCATTGGCACTTCTTCCAAGGAACAGAATCACCAAAAGAGTAAACTTTATCAAGACATTCAAGATTACCCTTAGAAACAAGGCGGCATGGAATGATTCTAGTCTCGAGCTACTGTTTAGGGAAAGTATAATCAAGTGGTACAACGACGGTTTGAAAACGTTAAAGGGATTTGGTGCAAGAGTCGCAGAACCACGCATCAAACTCTTCATACCTATGGGAGTTTTTCCGAGCATTTTTTGGGCAAAAGTCTTTGCGTGGAGATAAACTTCCGACGCAACCATCGCAACGAATGCACAATCACACTTGGCTACTGATGCAAAAGTGTAGAGAACGGCTGAATAACTTAGCGGAACGCAACAAAGAATCTTACGGAAGAAAAATTATGCAGAGAGAGAGGTATTGTCAACAACTCCAAGGAATTGCTAATTAAGGATTATAACCTCGGGAGGTTTAAATATCTAATCAACATCCCTAGGGACAAATTCAGACTACGCACTTCGCATTCTGCACTGGCCACTGCTGCGGAAGAAGCATATATACAACATGGGTCTAGCATCTTGCGCAAATTGTCGGTTCTGCGATATGAAGCCTTTAACTCCAAAATCCTTCTATTGGACTACATAACAGTCTGCAAATACAGGATAAAGGCCCCGCGAGCCATGTTTCTAAATAGGGATCACATTGTCCCACTAGTACGTAGCAATATATCGAACTTTATCAATATGCTGGGGCTAGGTGAGTCTTTGTGAATTAGGAGAACGCATATTAGACCTAAGGTCACGATGCAACCCTCGTCTATCTACCGTATCTTAGCTTAGTTTTTGAGACAGATATAAGTAGGAGTTAATTTGGGTTTTGTAGACTCGACTTTATAGGCTTAATATAGAGAGAAATATTGTACTCCACAAGCTATATTGTTTAAATTTTTTTAACGTTTAACATATAGTTCTTCCAATTTTTTTAGACTGTGGTAGAATAGTTTGAATTTAGTTTTAAATTAGACAATCAAAAATCTAATAAACGAAAAAAATTGGACGAAGGTAGTTTCGATTCAAAAGCTACTATTAAAACTGTGATACTACAGGGAAGGAAAAAGAAACAAATGAGAGTCCATTAAGTTTTGTTTTACTTATTTATGTGGAATATTTATTAAGCTTAAACACACCGCGTAATTTAATAATTGCCTTTGATACTAGATGAATTTGTCTTTTTATTGACTCACCTATTCAATTTGCGCCTAATAGCCGCAACCGTCGAACCGTGGATATCGGTTACATAGCTGAACTGTAGCAATACTTATTAGCTAAGTAGATATTAGTGACAAACAAAAGATGTCGCCAGTGGGCGGAATGCACAAGTAAGAGTGTGTATGTATGTCTATGCAAAGAGACCACAAGACGCAACTAGTGTATAGGTAAAGAAGTCGCCACAAGCGGCTTAAGTGTCACAAGCGTACATATAAAGAAGACAAAAAGCTACCCAGTCTACCATACTGTCAAGTTTTTTATATTTTTTGTTTAATACTGATGTCTCAAGAGGTACGAACAAAATGAAAAATACTCCTTAAGAAAAGCTCGTAAAGAACGGGGAAGGCAACTTAAGGCAACTCTCATTTTTTATTAATATTTATTTCGTTCTTTATCTTACAAAATAATTCACTTCAAAATTGTTTCATAGAATAAAACTCTTTTGAATATTTTCTACTTAAAATAGCGTTGCGCACCTTTCAATCTTTTTTCACCACAAAAAATTAGTCCATCAAGCTTTTCGTGACATAAAATTTTCAAACAGGTGGCAACCCTCTTTAGTTATTCTTCTTCAAACATCGTTACGCACATTTAGATCTTAAATTTATTTTCATAAATTCTATTAAATTATATTTTCTCAACAAGTGGCAACATTGCTTACAAAAAATTAAGACTACAAAATCGCTAAACAATCATATTTAATTCTACAAACATTTTTTAGTATTTAATAAGGTGTATTTTTCGAATTTCACTCGTAAATTAATAAACTGAAAATTATAAAATTTGTTAGACTACTCGAAACTACACAAAACTTGTTATGCACCGCTGTGGCCGAACCATGCCACTTAGGCAGATTTTCTATAAAATAATTGATGCAAAAAAAATGCTTGCTGGGTTTTTGGCATGCGAATTCTTGCAAAACACAAACACACCGTTAGCAAATGCCAACAACACGCTAATAGCACTACTGTCATGCCCTCTCGGCCATTATTTGTGGGCTTATGAATTTGTTGTAATTTGCAGCAATTTGTTAGCTTTGGCGGCAAAGACAATATGGTCAAACCAATCGGGTCACGAATGATAAAATCAGTTAATGAGATTTTCAAAGTAAAACAATCAGCCACACCGTTATTAATTAGCAGCATTGTCATAATTATGCGTTGTATCACATTCTACCTGTTTATAGCTATATATAGTATACTACATCGGATCAATGCCTACAAATTATGTTATGAAGTAAGTATATTATATGGTTCGAAGGACGGCATAATGAGTTTGGCTGCAAATAATTAGTTAATTAATTAGTGTGTTTATAGATTTATCGAAATTTATTAAATGCACAGAGCACTCATAATATTTTAGTAAATATTGATACACTTGGACCCTTGTGGCCAAATACATATATATGTATAAAAGGCGGAATAAAAGGCAGAAAGCTACGCTGCTAAAATGAGTTTTGAAGCTCTGCGTGTGAAGGCTCTAAATGCAACCTTTCGCTTATCCATAAAATTTACGTCATAAATGACTGCAATCATGAAAACTTCGGGAAGATGAGAATTGTAGACCACCGTGCTAGAGAAAGCCAATTGTCGATAATATCGATAATGTATTCATAATCGTCGAGTCCGGCCAGCATATTAGGGCACTGTTCTGATTGTCAAGAGTTAAACATTGCATAAAAAAAAAAATAATTGTACATATTTAGATAGGACAGGAAGCAAAGAGCAGCTCGATGTATGGATGACACACAAGTTAACGTCAAACCAAAACTCATGGACCGATTCTCCACAGATTAATCGCTTTTAAATCGCAAGGAAAGGGGTTTTAGTCGAATCGCGGTGAGCCGATTTAAACGATTCGTAGGAAATAATCTGATATAAGCTGCTCCTATGGCCGAACTCTTAATTCGAACTTATATTGTCATCAATTGGACTGTCTGAAGTCAGTAATCGCCCAGAAGTAGTCATTTTGGCCATTGGCAGAGGAATTGCATTTTATCAGGATAACTTTATGCAGCACATATCGATAGTGATGCTCCAGAAGAATGGAACAAAGTTACTACTACTTCCTCATGCATATGGCAAATGATTTTGTTGGCGAACAAAATCGTCCAGAGCACTTTTTGTGCACATCGACAATACAAGCTTTTATCAATGGGAACGTGAGTTCATATGTGAGTGGCATTACTTAATTACTTAAATTGGTGACAAACCATTGACTAAAATGCAAATATACGACTAAAATCATATATTTCCAACTATGCTAAATAAAACTAAAAAAAAAAAAAATTTTACTAGATCTATTTAGATCTATTACTATTCTATCTACTTTCAGTTTGATCCCAAAACCAAATCTAGAAATCGCAGAATATCTAAATTTAATCGCGAATTGATCCCTATTTCGCCTTTTGATATTTTTCTTTCCCAAACCCAAATGTTTTTTGGCACGAGAGCAGCTTTCCTATAAAGACTCGGAAACTTTGTTCGCTGGAAGTTTTCGACTTTTAAATGGAGCAGAAAAAGATCTGCTAAAGATGGACTCAAACTCGTCTCGTATGTAGAAAGAATAGTTTGCACATGTTTCAGGAATAACTATGCTCAATGGAGTTAGTATATATAGTTAGTTATAATATAATGGGTGAAAATGATCGGTTAAGTAAACAGAAAAGTTTAAGACAAAAATTTATATTCATACTCGAGTTAAATGTTCTGAGAAAAAGTATAACTTATGAAACATAAAAGTATTTTATTAATAGCAGCCTATATTGTCGACATTAAATCGGAAGGACCACTGGCAAAATTCGCAAGTAATATCAACTCGGAAGAAACCTAAAATTCAAATAGTAAGCTTCCATTGTTTAAAATGTTCAAAGTGAAACATAAAAGTTCTTCCGAATTACTGGTTCGCCACAATTGTAGGTGTTCTGATTGTCCAATAAGTTTACTGTTTGCCAAAACCGTACTGAAGAAAGCGAGATGAAATCATCTTGGAACTTTCTCTTCTATTGCCAGGCTTTTGGCAGACAATGAGTTTGAAATATCTCAGAAGACATACCCTTATCGCACTTAGAGAAGTTTCCGGGACTGACAGTTATCGCCTTAATAAATTCTGTGAACGTTTCCTCATTCTAAATGGATCTCATGATCCACATTTGGGAGTTTTGGCAGTAAGAGGAAAAATCTGAGAAAACAACAACAGGCCAAACTAATCAAAAAAAAAAATCATTTAAAATTACTTGTTGGTCGAGTTAGAAGTATTTTTGGGAGTTGAAGAGAGTTCAACAGAGCTTAGAACGTAAAGGCTCATTACTT